CTAATGTCCACGCCATATTCATGAATTTGTCTGACGGGCTCTGAATCACCTAAAAAATTTTGGGGCCATCAAAAACGACCTAATGAACAATACACATAGCTTCACCATGACTTTTCCTCGTTTTTAGCGTTTTAGGGTCATAAAACATAAATTCAAGACGATTTCCATTTTTTCGAGTAATAATGTCCACACCATCTTTATGAATTCGGGTGAAAGCTCCGAATCGCCTGAAATTTTGTGGTCCTATCAGAAAAGATCTAATGAATAATAGGCATAACTCCACCATGACCGTTCCTCGTTTTTGGTGTTTTACGGCCGCAAACCAGGAGTTCATGATGATTTTCAATTTTTCGTGTGATAATATCCACGTCATCTTCATGAATTCGGGTGACATGCTAAGAATCGCCAAAAATTTTGTGTTCCCTAAAGAAACGTCCCAATAAAAAATAGTCAATACTTTGATATAACCGTTCCTAATTTTATTGCGGTTTAGGGCCATAAAACAGGAATTTAGAGCAATTTCTAATTTTTCGTATGCTAATGTCTATATCATCTTCATGAATTCAGGTGACAGGCTCTGAATTGCCTAAATTTTTATGGGCACGTCAAAAATGACTTAATGAATAATAGTTTTGCCACGACTGTTTCTCATTTTCTGGTATTTTAGGGCAATAAAACGGGAATTCAGGATGATTTCTGATTTTTCGTATGCATTAGTCCACGCCATCTTAATGAATTTAGTCGACGGGCTCCGAATCACCTAAAATTTTATGGGCCCATCAGAAACGACCTAATGAACAATAGTCAAAGCTTCAGCATGACCTTTCCTCGTTTGTTGGCATTTTAGGGCCATAAAACAAGAAATCAGTACAATTTTTTGATTTTCCGTGAGCTAATGTCTATGACATCTTTGTGAATTTGAGCGAGGGGCTCCGAATCGCCTAAAATATTTTGGTCAGAAATGACCTATTGAAACATAGTCATTACTTTACCATGACTACTCCTCGATTTTTGGCTTTATAGGGTCATAAAACTAGAATCTGGACGATTTCAAATTTTTTCGTGTGCTAATGTCCACGCCATCTTCATGAATTAGGGTGATAGGCTCCGAATCGCTTAAATTTTGTGCGCCTATCAGAAATGACCTACTAAACAGTAATCATTGCTTCACCATGACTGTTCCTCGTTTTTTGGCGTTTTAGGATCATAAAACTAGAACTCATGACGACTTCCAATTTTTCGTGTGCTAATGTCTACACCATCTTCATGAATTCAGGCGGCGGACTCAAAATCACTTAAAATTTTGTAGGCCCATCAGAAATGACCTAATGAACAATAATCATTGATTCGCCATAATGTTCCTCATTTTTTTATATTTTAGGGTCATAAAATAGGAATTCGGGACGATTTCCGATTTTTCATATGTTAATGTCCACACCATCTTCATAAATTTGAGCGACAGGTTCTAAAATCACCTAAAATATTATGGGGCTATCGAAAAGAGCTAATGAACAAAAATTATTGCTTCGCCATGACCGATCTATTTTTTGGCGTTTTATGGCTATAAATTATAAAAACCAAGATTTGGTACGACGTGTGTGGAAAAGAAAAGCAAGAAAGAATAAATTTACACTTTAGTTTCCAAAGGTAAAGCATTCATAAGAATGAGCGTTGCCTGTGCTGAAAGGAATTAATTTGATTTAATTTGTGAGAAGTATTACGAATGAAATAAAGATATCTGTACTTTGATTACAGAATTGGAGCAACGTACTATATTCCAAACTAGTTAGGTTGACTGACCAAACTAGTTCTTGCAGATATAAATCCCTTTCCATGAAAAAAAAAAATTGATTAACCCCTCCTTCACTAGATTTTTTTCATATAGCAGGGTCAATTTTTTTCTCTCGAGTCGAGGGTCTTTCGGAAACAGCCTCTCTACCCTTTCAGGATAGAGGTAAGATCTGCGTACACATTACCCTGCTCAGACCCCACTTGTGGGATCCCACTGGGTTGTTGTTGTTGTAGCAGGGTCAATTTGCTCGCATCTTGGCTATTCTACTGGTATTTACTACCTCCCACCAATATAGGTATCAGATAACTTTGGGGAGAAACTCAAAAAATAGCCAGATTTTACAAGTGGTCATTCAAAAATAGCCACAGTTTTAAAAGTAATCGAAATTTAGCCACTTTTCATGTAAAGATAAATCTGAAAGAAAACACTGTTCAAAATCCGGAAAATACTCCAGCATAATATACTGGAACTTTCCGCGTGTTGGAGTTCCAGCATAATATGCTGGAAGTTCATACACAGGTGCACCGATCTCCAGTATATTATGCTGAACTGGTCCTGTTGCAGCAAAATGTGGGTATTTTTCAATGACTTTGCAAACGCTGGCTATTTTTGAATGACCAGTTCGAAAACTGGTTAGCCCGTGCTATTTTTGGTCCACCAAGATTTAGACAGATGATAAGAAACCACCTAATATTTTCAATACCTATTGAAGCTTGAGTCTTGATCCGTTATGATTTTCATCCCACCACCTAACATTTTCCGTATTGAAACTTAAATCCTGATATATTATGATTTTCATCCCACTTCATCGAGCATTAGGTCACATTCGGTGTCATCCGTCCTCCGGCGGTTCCAGCCTCACACTTGATAGCCCTTGCACTGCCAACCTTGTCCCACCCTGTTCACCCCATACCACCCACCCCTAAACTTTCATTACATTCTTTCCTTTTTTTGGTTTCTATAGCTTAAATTGCCATGCAATTTCCCCCTTCCCCTCACCCCACCAACAACTTCAATAAAGTCTCCATTACTTGATCTTGTGAACTCTTTAACTGTAACATGTCAAAACTGAACTAAGAAGACTTTAGCTTCACTTCCCAAAAGATAAGAAGAATGTTTCAGCCATATATTTCATAGTACAACATCTTAAATTCTTTCATCTAAATGCACATGCATCAACCCTTTTCTTTTCTTTACTTTCGCCAACCAAAGGTCCCCCTCCGCACGCTAGACTTGACTATAATTCGACGTCAACACTGTTTAAAGTATAATTCACCCTTGGTGTGGTTAGCAAACCATAACCAGTGCATTAGTAGCCCAAATGACTATGGAGGAGGAGAACAAAAAACCCTTATCTCCGTCATGTTCTAAATGAGTAATGGACAAACCATTTCATTCCAACACATAATGTATGTGATGAATTTGTAAAACTAGATGTCCTCTTAAATCTCACACTTATCCCTACACTTATTCCTCACAAGCACACAAGACCTAATAATGTAAGCGTGATGTTAAAGTAATAATTGCTTGAGAAAAATTTAAAGAATAGTCAAGAAAATAATACTAGGTGTTAATGGCTAAAAGGTTGAAAGTACAACCTAATTAACAAACATTAATGTCTAGTCAAGCTTGTAATATGAGTTAGAAAGAAAATCTTGTTGCAAGCATTAATGGATGATCAAGTTAGTTACTTGATTTGGTGGGACCGTCATTCGTAGTATTGAACTACAGATTAAGAAGAACCCACTCAAGGATGGATTAGAAAGCTAGGTTCTTATACTCATGAACTCTTCAAAAGGCTTTAATTTGGCTATAGAGGTTGAAAGATTGCGTCTTTTTGTTTTAGAACAAACAGCATTTCAAGATATTAAAAGGAATTTCAATAGTCTATTCTACTCCAGACAGAGTAAGGGACCAAAAAACATATGAATAGATGAATTCACATACTTGATGCATGGCTGAAGTTTCAAAAAGCAGTACAATATTTAGTGCTCAAAGCAGAATATGACTGACTTCTCATTCTTTGGTGTATAAGGAACATATAGCATCTAAATACATCACAAAGTAACAAAAGAAAGTATACTCTGACCTTTCTTAAGCTTGTTCTCTCTCCTTCCTAAGCTAATCAAGTCTGTCTTGTATAATTTAGCCGGTTCAAGTCCTCCTGTGATCTGGATGAATATTTCACTAATGCAAATAACTTAACTTTACATTGCACCTTGGAAGCTGAATATCGATTCGGTTAATCCAGCGGTTGAAGGCATCCACGCTGCAGGTGTGGAAAATATGCGCACTAATAAAATCATCATAAAGGCAGCCCAGTGCACGAAGCATCTCGCATTCACGCAGGGTCCGGGGAAGGGCTGCACCCTAACGGGGTGTGATATAGGCAGCCTACCTTGATGCAAGCATCAGTGGTTGATTCCAAGGCTTGAACCCGTGACCTACAGGTCACACGGAGACAACTTTACCGCAGCTCCAAGGCTCCCCTTCACTAATGAAATTATCATATATTCTCTAAACATGGTGGAACAGAGAGTATGTATATTTCAATAAGAAAAACAATTTGCCAGTCAGTAACACCAAACCAATCTTAGTACAGCTAATTAGTAGATCTATTGGCACAATGAAATGAACATTGAATGCTGTTCACCACAGTCAGCACAACTTTATGAGCTTTCAAGCCTAGCAGAAGTGGGGTTTCTAGCGTCTTCTTTTTCCAAAGATTACAGAAAATGAAATCAACACAAGATCTCTTAGAACAACGAAAAGAGACTGCAGTAGCTTCAAAATTAGAAAAGACTTTCCAATAAGGAATTGAACCTTAGTTAAGCTACCATACCTAATCAGTTAAAAGATGAACTAGACACAACTAGATGCACATGTAACAATATCCACACATGGTGGTTGCTATCATTGTTTCCAGAACCAAATGCAGCAGATAAAGAATACCAGAGAGATCGTCATTAAGTAAAAGGAAAAACAAGAGTACCAGATTGAAATTGAACACTTGGGATGTGCACTTGCGCCTCAGACAGTACATTACATCTTGACGGTGCTCCGTAATAATCTGTAAAACTTGAAACTGAACTAGCAAAACATAACTGTTCCACTAAGAATGAAACATATTTCTGATTTTGGTGAAAGAAACTAGCAAAATTTGTCTCAGAAGAAGCTCAGCTCATCAAGCACTGATACATAACTAAGATCAAGAGTTAACTATAAAAACATTTATAGCTGACTATCAAGTTATGGAACCATGATACATGAAATATTTTCTACCATTTATTTCCTATATGCTTATGTTCAGATTAAACACCTTTTTTTCTGAGGAAACGTCTGCTACCACCATGGAACACCTTGGTTGTCAATTCAAAGTATAGATAATCAAAACCTAAGCTTGTTAAAGCTCCAAAAAGCAACCAGTATATTTAACGGAAACAGCTGGACCAAGAAGCAATATATCTCTGTCCTAGAAGAATCTGTCAATTAAGTCGCAATTGCTGATAGAACCTTTTGATCTTTGTATAAATATCTTTCTTCAGTAATGAGCAGGATAGAAAGAATTCAGATTGAAGAATGTATTAATGGCCCCAATGACCAGTAGCCATTTCCAGGAACTTTCCAATTTGAACTGTAGAGCCTAAACTATGCTATATTCTTCCTAGAAATGCTTCTCCAAAAATATAGTTACAGATAAACCACTGTATATTCACAAACACTTTAGTCAAAAATTCTTTCCCCAGTGGACAACACTAGGAAAACAAAAGAACTAAATATGCAAAGCACCCCTGGGATGAGAAATACGACTCTCCAGCTATCTGGACTAGTAAGATCCAATTCAGCGGCTTTTGCAGCTTCTAGTAGTCGACCAGTGAGGTCAACCCCAACAATTCCAGCTAATGTACCAGCTGTATTTGAAACTCCCATAACAATTCCAGCATATCTTGGAGCAATGTCCATGTGGTTAACTGCAAACCCAGCTCTTCCTAATGCCAAGAAACCAAGGGCCACAGAGGAACAAAACAAAGCGCCGCCAGATGTTCTGAACAATGGAAGAGCCATCAATGCAACAGAAGCAACCATGAAACCCACTGTGTTCAAAACTTTTCTGGTTTTAGTAATAGACAGGATTTTCTTGGTGACAAGGTGATCCGCAATCACCCCACCAATATTTGAAAATATAAACATGTTAAAGTATGGCATCATTTTAGAAGAACCCATTTCTTGAAGGCTGAGCTGGAGACCCAATTCAAAGTATGTCGGAAGCCAGTTCATGAGCACATAAAGAGCATAATGAAAGGTAAAATTGTTAACGACAATAGCCCAAACCGGTAAGCTAATGAGGATGCGCTTCCATGGGATTCCAGGGATTTTAGTGGAATGTACTCCATTCTCTGCCTTCATCTTTGAACTCCCTCTGATGGGAAGTAAGGATTCTCCAAAGCCGGAAGCAGTTGCTTTTCGATGATCAGAACGAGGGGGATCGGTTGCGTAAGTAAACCAGATTAGAGACCAAAATGCGCCTAAAAACGCTTCAGCAAGAAATACAGATTGCGGACCTCTAAATTTTACCAGGCTAGGAAGCATAAGCATACCCATAGCTGCACCTAAGTACATCCCAGAAGTTGTAAAAGAAACAGATCGCGATCTTTCATGTGGTGGTACCCACTGTGCAAGGACAGTGTGAATAGACGGAAAAATGAAACCTTGAGCCACTCCAACAAGCAAGCGGGCTATTACTAGGATCATTGGTCGAGTTGGGTCGAGGGGTACAAAAGCACAGGTTAGAGACCACAACACAAATGAAAGAAGGAGGACACGCCGTCCCCCAATTTTTTGCGCTACCCAGCCGCCAGGTACTTGTGAACAGGCATAACCATAATAAAAGGTTGAAAGAATTACACCTTTGCTAGTCTGGTTTATTCCTACAGCATCAGCAGCAGCAGTATACGCGATGGAAAAGCCCACACGTTCTATGTAGCAGACTGAGGTGCAGATGAAGGTTAAAAATACAATTAAGTAACGCTTTGGAAATTTACTGCTTCCCATTACTTTCAAGTTTCTAAATGAAAACCTCACACTGGATCACTGCATAGGTGGTCCTTTGATAAAGACGTCCAAAGAATGCACTTATCTGAAATTCTGTTGAAGTGATCAAAGAAACAGAGAGGGTAATTTAGAGCCTTCATAATGTTAGATAGAAAGGAGAAAAGATTTAACCACTTAACTAATAACAGCGAACATACTGAAATAGCATGTGAGAAGTAGGAAATGCACCAGAAAGCAGTGGTTCAACTTTTATTTAGGATTTGGATTCACATTATTTGACTTTTCACCTCATGGTGTTTGGACGACACCATTTAGATAGCAGTCGTAATCGAGGATAGAACAGACACTATTATCAGGCCTAGCCTACTCAAATTTATATAAAACAAATCTTATTCAATCTGATAAGATATGTCACTGAAACAAGGTCTTTCAAATTCTGAGGATGAGCAGGTCGATCCAAAGATCATTAATAAGGAGTCAGACGACCTCAGAGTCGTATGATTTAAGCCTTCTCCACTGAGATTTCTCCAATGCTACTCTCTCGGAAAAAAAAAACAACTTTCTCTACTGTAATTTTTATGACGACTTCGGACAGGAGGGATAAAAGTTAAGCAATTTCTATCGACCGAAAGCAGATATCGCCCCTCCTGCTCCAACAGTCTGCTTATCGAGGAATAGAAAAGGACCTAGAAAAACCAATAATGATTGTGGCTAGACTTCTCTATTGATCTACCAATCTAGCTAGAAATACTTGTTTCTCACCCTTGATTTACTAGTAGAAGAACGTCATCAAGCACCATTACTATGCTTTTTTCTATTACTTATATTTTTTTAATGTAAACAGTACATACATTTTAACAAATTTTGATAGGATGAAAACAGTATATTTGAATGTGGTGAGATGTGGATATACTTTTAGTGAAGTAATCCGAAGTCAAACCTAAATCTAGAAGCACCACCATAAATGCATTTAGGAACAGATTCCACATCTCACACTATGTTTGGTTTCACTAAGGGGAGAGAGGGATGCGAAAGAACAGAAAATTCATTAATTTACTTGTCTACTTCTATTTCTCCTCCTCTTTTACTTCCTTATCAATCCCCGAGTCCTTCTCTTTTACTGCCAGCCCTCCTACCCTTCCTCTTTGCACCCCAATCAAACATTGTACTATCAATTTTAATTCAAACCATATGTTTAGCATAGTTACAAACCAGTTGAGTTTATGTCAAATTAGTCCCCTAATTTTCTTTAATTTCAAGTTTTAATGCTAAAACTTCAAATCATTCTTATTGCATTCCTACTTCACCACATTTTGCTTCTAATAATCCTCAACCGCCAGCTAAACCAGACATTCAAGCATCATCTTACAAAAAGGGCACCCCGGTGCACTAAGCTCCCGCTATGCACAGGGTCCGGCCTTACCCTGCATTTCTGCAAGAGGCGGTTTCCACGGCTCGAACTCGTGACCTCCTGGTCACATGGCAGCAACTTTACGCGTTACACCAAGGCTCCCATTCTCAAGCACCATCTTAGAGCAAGTCATATACTCAAAAATTTGGAATTTAAAGAAAACAAATTGCCATAAGCAGGAAATTTATTCTTTACAAATATTTACAACAAAAAAAAAACATTGAGCAAAAGCACACTGGCATACTCATTACCCCCCCCCCCCCCCCCCGAAACCCCAAAGACAAAAAATTAATCTTTACCACCCACCCCCAACGAAGGGTCAACGATAATCTCACTTCTCAATTTTCCCCATTTATATAATCACTTCTAATTGAACAAACGAAAAAATCCCACATTGTTAAAATTAACATAAATACTTCAAGATTCTAATATTAGCTTCAAGTTAAAGATTATTACCACAGAATCAGAAGAACCTCAAAAGGGGTGTATTTGGTATTTGGTAGATCAGGAGTTCCAAATCCAAAATCTTTATTTTGCTAATTAGAGAAACATTGTAAGGGTAATGGAAGAAAAATTAAGAAAAGGGTTTGAAGTAAATAGTTGAAGAATTAGAGAAATGGGAGTAGCGTAGGTTGAAGGGACTGTAGACTGAGAGGGAGTTACAGCCTGACAGTTTCCCAAATATATTTCTCTTTTGTTTTTTTTTAATCTTTTCTTCTTATAGTATTCGTTTTATTTACTTTTTTTTCATTTTTATGGGTAGGGTTCTTTTCTTTGGAAAAGATGTTTCCATTTAAAAATACAGTCAGGGGGTGATTTTTCTTTGCTTTATATGCGAACTAATGCAAAAACTTTTTTCTTTCTGTAGTTTCCAACCCGGTATCCTATGCATTGGAGCCAGACTATATTCACATTCGTGACTATATTCACATTCGTTCCGCGTAGTCTTATTCGGGAGGAAGCACTCTCTATCAAAGATTTTTTCATACCCAAAACTCGAATCCGAGATCTCTGGTGAAGAAAAGAGCAATCACATCCGTTATACCACAATGATAACTAATCTTAATTGTCTTGCTTGAGTATTAAGTAAAAAACGAGAAAGGAAAAGGTTTCGTTTTTACTCAATAATGTGGCCTAATAGTCGATGAAAGTTTGAGATCCGATAGAGGCAAAAAGTTCTAAGTGGTTCCTTCTCATCTGACTAAACAATGAGCGATTGAGTTATATGATATTTGTACTATTGGGAAAATTGCTTATTTAACAGTTTTCTTTTGCTTTTAGTTATGATTATTCATGTATTCTTATTTCATATTCTACATCGCATTAATAATATATAAATTTATGCATAAATTATGTGGATATTAGTAAGCGATGGAGTAAATTTCATGGGTGGACCATTTGTTGTGTTCTAGAAAATTCAGTTGATTAAGAAAGTAGAAATGAGAAGGAGAAGAAGAAGATAAGCTTCTGCAAAGAATCAACTCACGTTCTAATTCATTAGAAAAAGAAATAGACTGTGTACAGTATTCGTATATATACATGAGTATCTACAACTCACTAACTTCCACTATTTCCTTTATTAACTTAGCTGGTGACAGTTGTCACCTGCTAACTGTCACGATCCAACTTTCCCACCTTCGGGACCGCATGACGCCTAACATTGCACTCGCTAGGCAAGTCAACGTTACAGAATATTACATCTTTTAATTTCCTTTATCATTTTATAATTTAAATTTAACAAGAACTAAATCAGCGGAAATAATAACGAAAGTACATGATTTAAACTAATTACTCTATATTAAGAACGAACACTGAAATAAATACCACCCAGAAACTGGTATCACAACTCACGAACAGTCTACGAATACTACAAGTATTGGTCTCAAAGAAAAATATACATCTATTTCGGAGAAAAATAAACATACTGAAATAAAGATAGGAGGGGACGCCAGGGCCTGCGGACGCCTGCAGAGACTACCTTGGGTCTCCTGAATACAGTGAAAGCAACCAACCTCTCGATCAGCCACTAGCTCCGAAATCTGCACAGAAAGTGCAGAGTGCAATATTAGTACAACCGACCCCATCTACTGGTAGTGACGAGGCTACGACGCGGCATAACAATATATATATAACCTGCAACAGTGTATACCTAAACAGAAAGGAAATACGGAATGAAATAAAACAGTATCTAGCATTAGACGAATACGAAATCCAGTCGTTCTACCAATACTCAGCTATAACCAATCCTTAGAGGGGTTTCAACACCACAATAATGAACCTCAGTAGAATATAAATACATAAACAACAAATGATGCGGCGCGCATCCCGATCCCACCATATAATCAATAACAACATAATCATTCACCCTTATTACTCCTTGTTGCAGAGTGCAACCCGATCCCACCAGTCCACACTTATTGCTCTTCAATATATATATATCACCCTTATTCCTCCTATTGCGGCGTGCAACCGGATCCCACCTGTCCACCCTTATTACTCCTTGTTGCGGCGTGCAACCCGATCCCACCAGACAATCACATTCACCCTTATTTCTCCTGTTGCGGTGTGCAACCCAATCCCTATATATACATATATATATATATATATATATACATATATATATATATATATATATATCAGCACCAATCACAAAATAGAGACAAGTGTTTCACAAGTTAACTCAAATCCTCCGCCACACTTATACCTCAAACCAACACAAGGAAATATCATTTCAATTATGAAATTTCACCAGTTAAAACTGCACAGCGAAACCAACCAAAGTGTAATATAGTGGAACAATGGAACAATTAACAACACCAAATAGAGAAACAACATTAAACAAGAAGCAATTAGACATGAGAGCATCAATAAGCAAGTAGCAAGTAAAGCAGGAAAGCAAAATATAGGGAAACAGGACAAGGGAACAGGCTAAACAAGTAATTTGGCGACGCATAGATGCTCGTCACCACACCTATACGCCCCACACATGGTATTTCACATAGCAAGCAAGTCGGGGATCCCTAATCTCTCAAGTCAAGGTTAGACCAAACACTTACCTCAAGCCAACGGGTAATTCACAGCTCAACCACCGCTTTACCTCTCGATTCCACCACCAACCCACTCGTATCTAGCCATATTTAACTTTATAACATCAATAAATGCTAAAGAAACCAAGTCCAATGCAAAATTATAGATTTCCCAACATTTCCCTCAAAAAGTCAAAAATCGACCCCGGGCTCGCTTGGTCAAAACTTGAAATTCGGACCAAAACCCGATTACTCATTCACCCCTGAGCCCGGATATACAATTGGTTTTGGAATCGACCTCAAATTCAGATCCAAATCCCCAAATTTCGAAATTCCTAGGTTCTACCCAAAAACACCCAATTCCACCATGAAAAGCCCTAGATTCTAAGATGAAATCTTGTAAAAAGATGAAATAGATTGAAAGAAGTGAGTTAGAAATCGTTTACCTATGATTTGGGGAAGAACTACTCCTTAGAAAATCGCCTCTTTTAGCTTAGGGTTTGAAAATTTGATAAATGAGTTGAAAATCCCGTCTAAGTCCCTTTTTGCACAGTTGTAGATGTCGCATTTGCGACTAGAGCTTCGCAATTGCGAAGCTCGCAAATGCGAGACAGGCGTCGCAAATGCAAACCTGCCGCATTTCTGCTACTATCGTAATTGCGAACCTTTGGTCGCAATTGCGATGGTTCCCCCTTCCTGACAACTTCGTATTTGCGAACACTGGCCTAGCCTTCTAATCACATTTGCGATGAAAGGCTCGCAAAAGCGGACCCTGCAGGGCTCGCAATTGCGATGCCTGATCTCGCAATTGCGAGATCAGGGGCCTGCAACAGCTGAAGCATACCAACAACTATTTCCTAAGTCCAAAATCATTCCGTAGTCTATCCAAAACTCACCCGAGCCCCCGGGGCTCCAAACCGAGCATGCATACGAGTCTTAAAATATCATACGAACTTGCTCATGCGATCAAATCGCCAAAATAATACCTAAAACTACGAATTCAACACCAAAACACATGAAATTTTCAAGACAGTTCAAACTTCCTATTTTCTCAACCAATGGTCCAAATCACGTCAAATTACTTTCGTTTTCCACCAAATTTCACAGATAAGGTTTAAATATTATAACGGACCTGTACCGAGCTTCGGAACCAAAATACGAGCCCGATAGCAACAATATCAAACATTATTCAATTTTCAAAAACCATCATATTTTTCAGTTAACAATTTATGCTATTCAAGCCAGGCCTGAGGCTGAGTCCTCCGATGCAGTCATCACATGTACGGTTTCAGTTTGCAGTAGAGATGCTTCAGCTCTATTTGATCCAGGGTCTACATACTCCTATGTGTCCTCTTATTTCGCTCCATATTTGGTTGTGCCTCGTGATTCTTTGAGTGCTCTCGCGTATGTGTCCACGCCAGTAGGGGATTCTATTGTTGTATACCGTGTCTATCGTTCGTGTGTGGTTGTTATTTGGAGCCTTGAGACTAGTGTAGATCTCCTACTTCTTGATATGGTAGATTTTGATGTCATTTTGGGGATGGATTGGTTGTCACCTTACCATGCTATATTGGACTATCATGCCAAGACCGTGGCCTTAGCTTTGCCGGGGTTGCCTCGATTGGAGTGGAGAGGGACTCTTGGTCATTCCATCAGCAGGGTTATTTCTTATATGAAGGCTTGGCGTATGGTTGAAAAGGGGTGTTTGGCTTATTTGGCTTATGTTCGTGATTCTAGTGCTGAGGTTCCTTCTATGGATTCCATACCAGTTGTTCGGGAGTTTCCAGAGGTATTTCCTGCAGACTTGCCGGGGATGCCACCCGACAGGGACATTGACTTTTGCATTGATTTGGCTCCGGGCACTCAGCCCATTTCTATTCCGCCGTATCGCATGGCCCCGCCAGAGTTGAAGGAATTGAAGGAGCAGTTGCAAGATTTGCTTGATAAGGGCTTTATTAGACCTAGTGGCTCGCCCTGGGGTGCGCCGGTGTTATTTGTTAAGAAGAAGGATGGATCGATGAGGATGTGTATAGATTATCGACAGTTGAACAAAGTCACCATCAAGGACAAGTATCCATTGCCAAGGATTGATGATTTATTTGATCAGTTTCAGGGTGCCAAGGTGTTTTCGAAGATTGATTTGAGATCTGGCTACCATCAGTTGAGGATTAGGACATCTGATGTCCCTAAGACAGCTTTTCGCACTCGGTATGGGCATTATGAGTTTCTAGTGATATCCTTTGGGTTGACAAATGCCCCATCAACATTCATGGATTTGATGAACCGGGTGTTCAGGCCGTATCTGGATTCCTTCGTGATTGTCTTCATTGATGATATTTTGATCTACTCCCGCAGCCGAGAGGAGCATGAGCAATATCTTCGGATCATTCTTCAGACTCTGAGAGATAGCCAGTTATATGCTAAGTTTTCAAAATGCGAGTTTTAGTTGAGTTCAGTCGCTTTCTTGGGTCATATTGTATCAACAGAGGGTATTCAGGTGGATCCTAAGAATATTGAGGCAGTCAAGGACTGGCCTAGACCCACATCAGCTACAGAGATCTGGAGTTTCCTGGGTTTGGCGGGTTATTACCATCGGTTTGTGGAGGGGTTTTCATCCATAGCAGCCCCGATGACCAGGTTGACCCAGAAGGGTGCCCCGTTCAGGTGG